CTTTTTGCTTTCCCAGCGGCCCAATTGGGCGCGCGAGGCCCAATTTTCGTGGTTGTTTGGTCCCATGTGTGGACATGCAGCCCAAGTTGCTATTTTTTACCCCTTTTGTGTTGGTAGTCTATTTTTTTTGTGCCAAACTAATTTAATATATTTATATATTTTTAAAATGAGAAAAATTTGTGAAAAATTATTTTAAGTCTCGAGACTCCAAATTTTTGTTCTCCGAGTCCTATTTTTTAAAAAAAAAACGAGAGAGTTCCAAGTCCAAGAAAAATCCTATAAAAACCCTTAAATCTTCATTTTTATTAAGTATGGGTTTTATGTTAAATTCAAGTGGTGAGATAGATTATTAATATATTATCTCGCTTAAATGTAGGTACTTGAGGAGTCAAGCCCTCGACCTACGAACTTGCTTTTGCGTGATATTCTACCTCGATTTCCAGGTGGGTTTTAATCTAAAATTTTCTATGTTATAATTGAGGTAAGATTTTTTATACTAAGTGTCTATGATTGTATGTGTGAATCATGAGACGGTGCCTAGTGGTGGGCGATCTCCAACCTTGTGATAGGTAGACTAATTTTAGCCTAGTCGATGGGCCGTGACCGTTGATGTTGAACCTCGGCACGACTGTACTCCCGCTGACGAGTTTGGGCTTACCCCTGGCGGCTTTTGATAAGTGTGCACATGAGTATAGTGATGAGTAGAAGAGTGGTGTGTTATGTCTTTTGACCATGTACTTGCATATGACTCTAGTATAGGATTCTTACCAATATATTATGCATAGTGGTGAGCACCTCGTTTATATTTGTGCTCATCCCCACCTGATCTTCATTGATGCAGGTTAAGCACGTGTTAGGCATGACAAGACTGAAGACGAGTGGGTGGTCAAACATTGTTAATACTTTTTATTGCTTCTGCATGCTTTGATATTTATGATTATCAGACATTGTTATTGTTCCCTATCGCTTTTGGGATTGGTTGAAGTGTTTGAACCATGTGGATTATTATTATCAGTTTGGATTATGTTGACAATCTTATTGCTAGGTATGTTGAAATCTAGTCTTGGAACTTGAATTATGTTGAATATTCTCGTTTCCTTTATGCTGATAATGTGTTAAGCTTTGAAAAGTTCTCGAGTAGCTCCAAATGTTTTATAAATCGATAAATGGTTTCGAAATTTTAAAACAAGATTTTTGGATAAGTCCGGAATTGTCTTTAAAAATCTTTGGGGCGTTACAGTTTGGTATCAGAGCCAGTCCGCGTTTCTGTAGACTGGTTTATATGTGATTAAGTGATTGTGTTTAAAATCTTTGGGGCGTTACAACGAAGGAGAACTCGTCGGACTGCTGCTATTTCAACTTCTTCTCTGCGGACAGAGAAATCTCGAACTTCTCGAAAGGTGTTGCTGACCTCGACAATGGCCGCTGACTGAGCTCAGTGAGGAACGGCAAGGAGTAGGATGTGGTGGCTTGCTGCCGGTTCACAGCAACGAACGTCGGAGAACAACGACCGCGCACTTGGACTCGCCTCAACGGACGACTCAACGGTGATGGCGAGAGGAAGGATCGCCGGGGAATGGAGTATGTCGGCTGCTCGTGGTGGTTCACGTGACGGAGCAGCGACAACAGAGGTTGTTGTGTGCTCTGTGGTGCTCTCATCGCCGGAGATTACTAAAAGGATCGCTACTAAGAACGTCGGTGGACTGGAGGCTAAGAGACGTATGAAGCCATTGGACGATT